TGCAGTGCTGTAACCCGCTGCGCCACCAGGGAGGGCCGCCATTTTTATCTTTTAAGAATTTTTATTTTAGTAAAATTATCAGAGGAAATAAATTGAGATTTCTCAGTATCTTATTTTATTCCACTACATTTTTTTTTTTGCTTTTCTATTTCATTTGTAAGAGGTAAAGAAAAGAGAAATTCACTTAAAACTCAGAAGTCTTATAATGGCTAATGAAATAATGCAGTTGTTCTATTTTAACATATAATTAATAAATTGATTGACTCTTCTGAATATTTCATATCATTGTGATAGGAAAGGAAAGCAGTGAACCTTGTCATTTTACCAACATATAATTTGTATGAAGTTAATAAGCTCTACCTCTTCTGTGTCTTCAACCTCTCTCTTTCTTGATATCTTTCCCTCCAGTAGTTTTTTTAAATTTAAGTGTCAGGAGTCTCTATATAAGAAGTCCTATATCCAGAAAGAGTGGGGGTGCAGGACGCTGGAACAACCGTTTAGGTGTTTAGTGTGGCATCTGACAGGTGCAGGTGTGTCCTGTGATACATGTCAGTGGCTTCTGAATGCTAGCACTGAATGACTGGGAATTGGCAGGTGAAAATCTTACTAGATATGACCAAAAGACTCATGACCATGATCATAGGATACAGCTAAAAAGAAGTAGGGGTGGGCAGGTTCCCAAGTTTCCCCAAAGTGCTTTCCTCCACTCTGGGATCTTTCTTCATGTTCCTTTGTCTTGTTTTGTCCAAGTCTGTTTTTTTGTGTCCTTTTTTAAAAAAAAAAACTTACTTTTATTGCTTTACCATTTATTTATAAAACTATATACGTTCATGTGTATATCCTCATGCCTTCACATGGGCACGTTCTTCCCTCATTGACCACAATGCTCAGGTGCCACTACACCATCGTGTTTCCTCACTTTACCCCCTCCTTTCGCCTTTACATCTGTCCCCTTTCATAACCACCGTATTTTTCACAGAGACTGAGAGTTTTTTGTTTGTTTTGGTGGTTTATTTCCTTTGGTTATTTTTAGTCTAAAACTGTCTTTCATAGTGGTCAATAAATGTTCCTATTTCTCCAACGCTTCTTTTTTTTTTTAATATATATAAGCCATTCTCACAGAATTCCTTGTGGCTTTGATATGCATTTCTTTGATAATGAGTGATGATGAACATATTTTATGGGCCTTTGGGGTATCTGTATGCTTTCCTTGGAGATAGGGCTATTATAGGTTTTTGATTGTTCTGTGTCCTTTCTTTCTGTAATCTGTCTTTCAGCACTTAGCTAGCAATTTGATCAAGAATTTAAGTATTATTAGCACTCATAGGTATTTTCTTTGTCTTATTGAAATGGAACATTTAATTTCTTTTTAAACTAACCAGGTAAAACACAATCTTAATCTTTTACTTATTATCTATGTTGTGGTTGATATTTTTCGCACAGAAAAACTTTTTTCTTGATATATCAGTAATACATTAAAGTTTTGTATTCTTCACTAACTTCATTAGAGTCAAAATTATTTGAACATTTTGGAATTTGATTCAGAGCATACAAAATGCAATTTCCTGGTTTTTTCCTCTTTAATTTAAAAATGATTAATACCTGAAAGAAAATATTTTTTAAAAAGCGCATCATTTAACACCTTTATTTAATCATCACTAAACTTGCTGCTTGGTAGACACTATGCTGAATGCTTTCAACTACTTTAATTCATTTCATCTTTGCAAAAACCTCAGGGATAAATGCTTTTTAGGGTTCTCATTTATGAATCTGGATCCTGATACAGGAAAGACCCAGGCCCCCCACAGACTCTAGAGTCACAGGAATATTTCTGTTTTTTTTTTTCTTTTTCTTAAATTATTTCATTTTAAAGCAGGATGCAGTAACTTTTTTTTTTTTAAAGATTTATTTATTTGTGCATATAGAACAGGGATACAGGCCAGAGGCTCAGGGGTGGCGAGGGGCTTCACCATAGACAGAATGGGGAGCAGAACAGGCAGATTGACGAAGTACACTGCTGAGGGGAGCAGCAGGTGGGTCAGGAGAGGCCTACCGCGTCATGTGGTCACCTCCAGGGCAGGCAGGAATCGAACTCATGTGGAAGTGGCTTTAGCTTCTCAGTGCTGTGCTTTAACCCACTGCGCTACCAGGGAGGGCCGAATGTAGTAACTTTTAAGAAAAATTTCAAGGGGAAGAGTATGAAATGCCTAGTTATTCAAATGGTGCCCAACTATTTTTAAATGTTTAAAGAAACTAAATTGATTGGCTTTTGGTAGAAATGCCTTCTTGGCAGTAATTTTAGTGAAACAAGTTGTAAGGTCTGTAGTTAAAAAGACAACATTATCCTTTATCATTTTGAAATTTCGCTGCTCATTTGATACTTCATATGACAGGGGACTTTTATGGAAAAGTATATTTGAAATACTGTGATATTGCCAGTCTTGTGCTGGTCTGATTATACTTTTACTGTATCTGACTTTTAATTTTGCTTATTGAAGAATGCTATTTTTAATTAGGCACAGTAATTAGTTTAAATAAGTTTAATCATGGGAGTTATTTATGTGTGTTTTGTTTCTTTTTTTAAGGTAATAGATCCCCTTCTCTCTGGCTCAAAGATGTTATCAAGAAAGAAGATATTTCCTTTCTTATTAACACATTTGAAGGGGGAGGAAGAGGCTGTGATAGGTCATCAGGCATCCTTGTTCAGCCAACTCTCTTACATTTGCAAGGACCGTTCAGTCTCAGAGCTACCCTGCAGTGGATGGACATGCTTCTGGCAGCACTAGAATGCTACAATACATTCATCAAAGAGAAAACCCTTGAAGCATCTGAAGTCTTGGGTAGGTAAAAACTTACCCCCTTAGTTACTTTTGTTCAGTTCTATTTACAGTCATTCTTGGGAAAACATGAGCAGCATTTGTTTTTTTTTTCTTTATAAAGATATATGCATACACATATACTTACATATTTATATATATATGTATATTTTAAAGATTTATTTATTTATGCATACAGAGCTGGGGTACAGGCCAGAGGTGCCAGGGATGAGAGGATTCACCAGAGACAGAGTGGGGAGCAGAACAGGCAGATGGACTGAAATTCACTGCTGAGGGGAGCAACGGGTAGGTCAGGAGAGGTCTGCCACACCCTGTGGATCACCTCCCTGGCTGGGGATCAAACTCGTGCTGCAGTGGGTGCGGAAGCTTCATAGTGCTTTGCTTTAACACTTTGCGCCACCAGGGAGGGCCCCATATTTAAATATTTTTTTAATGAAGTACCATTGTTTTACACCCTTCTTAATTTTTCTTGACAATAATAGACTTATTTCCCTCAGGTGTTCTCACCATACGTTTACCATCACTGTTACCCCTTCATTTTCATCCATATTGTAAATGACAAGAAATATTTTAATATCTGAGAAGTATTCAGTTGTGCATATATACTACATTTTTGTAATACATGCCTTTTTCCTTGGACACTTTCATTGTTTCTATAACTTGGCTATTGTAAATGGAGCTGCAGTCAACATAGGAGTTCAAATTTATGTTTTTGTTTTCTTTGGGCAGATACCTAGGAGTGAAAATACTATATCATTGCAAATCTGTTTTTAAAATTGAAGAAACATCCACAGTTTTCCATAGTGAATGGACTATCTATAATCCCACCAACTGTCTGAGCATCACTTTTTTCTCCACATCCTTGTCAACACTTATGGTTTTCTTTGTTATTTTATCTATTTTTCACATCATTCTTTTTGTACAACATATGCTTTCTCATCTTGGTTATAGTCCCTGTAAAATTCCCACCACCAATTTACTGTGTACTATCACCACAGTCCCTTGGGCTCTTCCCACCTCTGTTTTGATCTAACTCCCCACATCCCCACTACAGAATATCTGTGATTTATAGTTGCCTATTGATTTTCATTTTTACTTTACTATAATAATGTTCTTTTCCTCTGACCCCTTTTTTGTATCTCTACATACCTTCCAAAAGTGAAGTCTTCCAGTATTTTTCTTTCTGTCTTGTTTCATTGAGCTTGATCTCTTCCAACTTCATCCATGTTGCCATAAATGGCATGAGGTTATCTTTTTGATTGCTGAGTAATATTCCATCGTAGGTATGCATGCATGTGTGTATTTGTGCATGTGTGTGCATGTATGTGTGTGTATGCATGTATAAACACACACACACACACACCCCACATCTTCTTGATCCAGTTATCTATTTTGGGGCATTTGGGTTCTTTTCCATAGCTTAACAATCGTAAATAATGCTGCAATAAACATAGGGGTACAGGTGTCCTTTTGAAGTAAGGTTTTTGTAGACCTATGAGTGGAATTACTCAGTCACATGAGAGCTCCAGTTTTAGCAATTTGAGGAACCGTCACACAACTTCCATAGTGGCTGGACCAGTTTATATTCCCACCAGCAGTGTAGGAGAGTTCCTTTACTCCACATCCTCTCCAACATTTGCTATTTCTAGTTTTTTAAATATGTGCAATTCTCACTGTGTAAAGAAGTATGTCATTGTGGTTTTGATTTTTATTTCTCTAATTATGAGTGATGAATATTTTTTCATATGTCTGTTGGCCATTTGCATTTTCTTTATGGAAAAGTGTCTTTTTAACTTTTCTGCACATTTTTGACAGGGTTGTTTGCTTTTTTGTTGTTGAGTTTTGTCAGCTCTTTGTAGATCTTTGTGATTAGTCTCTAATTAGTATTGTGTGGGAGGTTTTCTCCCATTTAATAGTGTTTCTCTTGTTTTGGTTAATATCTCTTTTGCTATATAGAAGTTCTTTAATTTGTTGTATTCTCAACTGTTTATTCTTTCCTTCACTATCTTTGTTTTGAGTGATATGTTTATAAAGATGTTACTGAGGTGTATATCTGTAGTGTTTCACCTATATTTTCTTCTATTTATTTTTCTGTTATAAGGTCTTTTGTCCAGTTCTTTAATCCATTTTGAGTTGGTTTTGGTGCATGGTGTGAGGTAGTAGTCTAGCTTCATTTTTTTTTTTGCATGTAGTAGCCCAGTTTCCAGCATCATTTATTGAACAGATTTAATTTTTCCATTGCATAGTCTTTGCTCCTTTATCAAATTTTAGTTGTCCATAAATCTGTGAGTTTATTTCTATGTTTTCTATTTGATTACAAAAGTCTGTATGTCTGTTCTTGGTCTAGTACCATATAGTTTTGATTATTATGGCTTTCTAGTATAGTTTGAAATATGGGCATGATACCTCCATTCCCTTTTTAACAGGGGAGCTTTGGATATTTGGGGTTTTATTTGTGGCTCCATATGAATTTAATCAGTATTTGTTCTATTTCTTTGAAGAATGTTACTAAAATTTTTATTGGAATAGCATTAAATCTGTAAATTGCCCTTAGTAAGATGGCCATCTTGATAATGTTAATTCTTCCAATCTGTGAGCATGAGTGTTTTTCCATTTCTTTGTGTTATCTTTTATTTCTTTTAGCAATGTTTTATAATTTTCTTTATACAGGTCCTTTACAACTTTTGTTAGGTTTATTCTAAGTTTTTGATTTTTTTGTTTCTATTACAAAAGGGATGGTTTCTTGATTTCTTCTTTTGTGTATGGATTTTACTAAACCAGTTGATTATTTTTACTAGTTTTTCTTTATTATGTTAATATGTATCTACTATTGGAGAATCTAAGGCCTTTATCATTAATGGATACTGAACTTTGTTGAATGTTTTCTTGGCATTAATTTATATGATCTGATGGTTTTTATTTTTCTTTTTATTGATGTGTTGGATTACATTAATTTACTTTTGGTTGTTCAATCATCCTTGTGCCTGTAGAATAAACCCCACTTGGTCATGGTGGATTATCTTTTTGATGCATTGTTGGATTCTGTTGGCTAGGATTTATTGAGGATTTTTGTATTGCTGTTCATTAGAGAGATTGGCCTGTAGTTTTCTTTTTTGTGTTGTTCTTGTTTAGTTTTAGTATTAGTGTAATGTTGGGTTTGTAAAACATACTTGGTAGTATCCCTTCTCAATTTTTTGAAAGAGTTTGTGGAGGATAGGCACTAGTTCATTTCTGAATACTTGGTAGAATTCATTTTTAAAGTGGTTGGTCTTGGGTGTTTGTTTTTGGGGAAGGATTTAGTAAATGTGTCAATTTCACTGCTGGTAATTTTTCTGTTTAGGTATTCTATTTCTTCATTATGTAGCTTGGGATGGTTGTAAAGTTGTATGTATTTTTCCATTTTTCTATATTGTTGAGCTTGTTTGCATATAATGGTTTATCATAATCTGATTATTCTTTTGAGTTCTGCTGGGTCTGTTTTAATTTCTCCTCTTTTGTTTATGATCCTATTTATTTGTGCTTTATTCCATATTTTCTTGGTGAGCCTGGCTAGAGGTTTGCCATTTTCTTCCAAAGAACTAACTTTTGGTTTCATTGATCTTTTTGTTTTTTTAACTACTAGTTCATTTTTTTTTTTGCTTTGATTTTTATTATTTCTTTTACTGGCGTTTGTGCCCTTTTGTTGTTCATTTTATAGTTTTTTAATTTGGGAGATTAGGTTGCTCCTTTGAATTCTTTGTCTTTTTTTGATGAGACTCTGTAGTGTCATATATTCTTCTCTTATAACTCTCTTGCTGTGTCCCATATGTTCTGGAGCATTGTGTCCTAATTATTCATCTCAAAGTATCTAAAAGAAATTTTTTTTACCTCCTTCTTGATCCAGTGGCCTTCCAGTAGCATGGGTTTCAATCTCCTTGACGTAGGTTTCCTTGTTTTCTTTTCATGGTTTATTTCTAGTTTGATACCTTCATGGTCAGATGTTGGAGATCAGCTCCAATTAACGAGGTGTCTGGAGGCAAGACAGGCAGGACCTTAAGATGGGAAGGCGTCAGAGAGCAGAGATTCCAAAAAGGGGAGAGGGGAGCTGACTTGAGGAAGACACAGGAGTCAGGATTGGGTGCAAGTCTTCCTGCCCATCTTTTTGCAGGTCTTTATTTATACTGTTTAGCAAGATTTAGTTACAATAATGCATCAGGTAAGTTAATAAGAAATCAACATAAACGTTTTAAAGGGGAACAATGCATCATCTTCCTGCTACTTTATGGCATATACTATACATCTTTGTGATAGCTTTCATATATATGGATGTTTTAACTATGACTTCAAAGGATCAGGGTCTGGGAAAGGATGAGCTGTTAGCAAAGGATTTAGGAGTCACCTTCAACACTTCAGTTTTTCTGGTCTTAATGATATGGGCCACTCTTACAGGTATGAGATGATTTCCCATTGTGGTTTTGATTTGTATTTCCCTGATGGTAGGTGATGATGAACATTTGTTCATGTGCCTGTTCGTTTTTTATATGCCTTCTTTGGAGAAATGTCTATAAAATATAATTTTTGGGCCCTCCGTAGTAGCTCAGTGGGTTGGAGCACTGCACTGCCAAGCTAAGCCAAGCCTTGGCCACCTCATTGGGAATTCAGTCCCTGCTCTGGATGTGGTCCACGTGGTGCAATAGACCGCTTCTGTTTCACCTGCTGCTCCCCTCAGCGGTATACATTGTTGATCTCCCTGTTTTGCACCCCACTCTGTTTCTGGTGTGTCCTCTCACTGCCCCTGCATCTCTGGCCTGTACCTCATTTCTGTATGCATAATAAAATTTTAAAATATATATATATATGTGTGTGTGTGTGTGTGTGTGTGTGTGTGTATGTGTATATATATATATGTACATATGTGTATATATTATAATTTCTTTGTTGGAATTTTGCTGAATCTAAGAATTGCTATTACTATTTCACATTCCGCACCTTTTTTTAATCTTAAAATATTTTACTTCATAAATGTAAGATATATATGCAATATGTATCTTAAAGTATTTTATATTATATATGATAATACTTAAAAGTATTTTGCTTACAGTTCTTTCTAAATCTTTGCAACACATGTTTAAAGATTTCTATGTTACTACATTTGTGGTTAGGACATATTATGTTGCTTAGTATCAACACATAAATATAATGCAGTTTTTGATAAATAATTATAAAGTGAAATTATGTGGTTAGTATTCTGTTTTTGTTTTGCTCATGTTTTACCATTAAAAATAGTTTGTTCACGGCCCTTCCTGGTGGCACAGCGTGTTAAAACACAGCACTGAGAAGCTAAAGCCACTTCCGCATGAGTTCGATTCCCGCCTGCCCCGGAGGTCACCACATGGTGTGGCAGACCTCTCCTGACCCGTCTGCTGCTCCCCTCAGCAGTGTATTTCATCGATCTGCCTGTTCTGCTCCCCATTCTGTCTATGGTGAAGCCTCTTGCCACCCCTGAGTCTCTGGCCTATACCCCAGTTTTATATGCACAAATAAATAAATCTTTAAAAAAAAAAAAGTTTGTTCACAAAAAACAGTTTGTTCACATAAGCAAGTGCTATATTTGATTACTTGTGAGATGCAAATTTATTTATATTAATTATTTTTCTTATTAATTTTTGGATAGTATATAATTTCTCCTCTCGGATGTCGTCCCTGTAGTCCTTGCATCACCATAGCAACCATGATCCAGTTTCTATGTACCTTATTCTCTTTCCTATTCTGTTTTGACTCATCTCTCTCCCCTTCTTTTGATGCTTACCTTAAGTCTATGATCAACTTTTACATTCTTTTTCCTAACCCTTTGTTTAGTTTCTCCATATTCCACATGTACGTGAAACCATCCAATATTTGTTCCTCCTACTGATTTACTTCATTTAGCATAATCCCTTCTACTTCCATTCAAGGTACTACAAATTGTAAATTTCTGAATGCTGAGTAGTATTTCGTTATATACATACACACACACGCACCTCATTCAAGGTACTACAGATTGTAAAGGGCGAGTTTACAATTTCTGAATGCTGAGTAGTATTTCGTTATATACATACACACACACATGCACCTCATCTTCTAGATCCATTCATTTGGTTTGGTTTATCTAAGTGTTTCCATATATTAGCTCCTGTTAAAAATGCTACAACATAGGAGATTTCCTTGTGAATTAAATGTTTTGTGTTCTTTCGAAAGAGTCTTAAGAGTAAAATTACTGGGTCATATGATAGCTTCATTTTCAGTAATTTGAGGAACCTCCACAGAGCTTTCCATGCTGGCTGGACCAGTTTGCATTCCTGCCATAAGTGTAAAAGAAGTTTCTTTTTCACCAGCATTTGTGTTTCTAGTTTTGAAAATATGGGCCACTGGGTGGACATTTTGTCCATATTTTTCATTACTTTAGTTGGATGTGTCTTACAGCCCAAGGCCTCTTGGATTCATGGGTAGTTCTTGTTTGAGAATATAATAATTAACACATAATTTTTCTGTTCTTTCAGTATGTAGCGATTTTTCATCAAGGTGATTTTTTTTTTAAAGATTTATTTATTTATGCATACAGAACTGGGGTACAGGCCAGAGGTTCGGGGCGGTGAGAGGCTTCACCAGAGACAGAGTGGGGAGCAGAACAGGCAGATCGACGAAGTACACTGCTGAGGGGATCAGCGGGTGGGTCAGGAGAGGTCTGTCACACCATGTGTTCACCTCCGGGGCAGGCGGGAATCGAACTCATTTGGAAGTGGCTTTAGCTTCTCAGTGCAGTGCTTTAACCCGCTGTGCCACCAGGGAGGGCCTCATCAAGGTGATTTTTAATAATCATCGATGAGTAAACAGTTTAACTTTATTTAAATTTATTAAAAGTGAAATCCTTCAGAGTTATAAAAAAATTTCTTAAGTCATTACGTTTGTTCATTCTTTTTACGTGTATATCAGTATTTCACCTGTCCCTTTTTGGAGGGATACAGAAGGCCTGGGATAATAATTATGGTTAGAATGGGGAAAGGTAATAGATCTGTCTCTCTTTTTTAAATAGTAGAAGGCCAGTAATGGAAAATTCGTGGAGATAAGGTAGAAGAACTAGCATAATCATGTGTCCATCTGGGAGTTGATCTGAAATTGATTCCATAAAATGACCAGTGTCTGCACAGATTTGTTTAAAGACCACTGTCTTAATTTGTCTCTCTCTTGTTCTTTTAAGAGATTTTTGATAGGTTCTTTTTGTTGTTGTTGTTGAAAACAATGCTAAAATGAACATATTAAATACAAGTCATTGTAATTCTGCCATTAATTTCATTAGGATAAAATTTTATGCTAGATCAAAACATATGATCTTGTAAACAGTTGATAGAAACAAGCACATTTAAAAAGCTCATTTTCTGAAACTTTTCCTTAGATTTGCCAGTTATCCTTTAGAAAAAGCATATTAATTTATATTCCCACAAATAGTGTTTAAAAATCAAAACTTGGCCCTCCTGATGGTGCAGTGGGTTAAAGCACAGCACTAAGAAGCTAAAGTCACTTCAGCATGAGTTCAATCCCCAGCCCCAGAGGTGGCCCACATGGCGTGGCA